TAATATTACCTTAAAAATATAAGATTTATTTAGAATTTATTAGAGAATATGTTACTTATTAGATTATCATGCAAGCTAAATCATTGAGAAACGTCCATCAATTTACTATAAATAAGACATTCTCAGTAGAAGAAATGAAATCATTGAACTTTGTAGTCTGGATTTTTTATGTTAATAATGTTCTAAACTTTTTTTCTTCTTATTTAGAACATTAAGCTTTTATATTTCATGAGAGCTGATTTTTCTTTTGGTTTATATGCAGATATCCTATTATGACGATTTCTCCACTGAAGCTATATATGATTTGATTGTACACCTCTTTGATATATCATTTCGATAACATCTTTGTTCCTCAATCTGGTAAAAAAAAATTCTCTATTTGATAACATCTCTCAGCTATATCATTTCAATAGCATCTTTTTGTGCTGCCAATACTTTTTTTTATTAGTAGATTTATATTATTGTTTAGAATTATAAGCTTATATATACATATATATCTCTTTGGTTTGCTGATTGTGATTTTGTTTTATGATCTTTTTTTAATTAAAATTGATATATTTTTTTTTGGTTTGCAATTATATGATCTTTTTAATTAAAATTAAATATATATAGTAATATTTATTAATCAAAAAATTATATCAACTACTTTTTATATTTATTATTTCCTTATTGTATATCATTTAATATTTAAATATCTATAGTTTAAATGTAATTTACCTTAATGTTTTTAGTTGATTAATGACCTACCTTATTTTGAACACATATTACTTGTGCAACTTCAAATTATATTTATTCCATTGTTTTAATTCAATTTACCTTAATGTTTCTAATTTGTTAATTGTCTTTATAAACTTATTTTGAACACATATTACTTGTGCAACTTCAAATCATATTTATTACATTGTTTTGATGCAATTTACCTTAATGTTTCTAATTTGTTAATTCATTTTTAAAAACTTACCTTATTTTGAATATGATTTAATTGCACAAGTTTATAACGTATTAATTTGAATCATTTAATGACAATATAACTATAATATCTTTCTTTTAACTGTTTCATTATTTATTATGAAATTATATTCCTAAACATCATTTGTTATGAAAATATCTCCCTAATAACATAAGAAAAAAGGAAGGTAGAGTATATATAAAGGAGACACCTAAGGGATGTCAATACTAACTTATTAGTCTATTTTTATTCGATAAAAAAATTTAAATTTATAAATTCTTACANCAAGATTGATTGGTAATAATTAAGAATGATTTATGTTAACGCATTAAATTCAGAACATCTATATAGCAATAAAAAGAATGTAATAAATAATACGAATATATTATTTGATACTAACTTATCGTGCAACCATATCAACACTGTTATATATATCTTACATTTTCTTATGGTTTACATTTTAAGTTGCTTATTTTCTTCAAAGATTATCTAATGACGTTTTTTAGAAAAAAATAACTTATGTGCCTGTGTACTTAAAAAAACTAACAAAATATGAATGTCTATTTTGAGAATCTAAAACAGAGGTATGGAAAAAAATAACTTCTTTTGTTATCTGCAAGGACTATGATGAAGAAAATATTGAAGTTATTAAAGAAACATGTTATTGGGTATCAGCAAATGATATACGCAAGCTGTTTTGTGTCCTATTACTAACACATAGTATCACAAATCCAGAAAACGTTTGGAATGCTACTTGGAAAAAAACTATCACAAGATATATTATGCAACCAAAGAAAAAATACGGATAAACCAAGTAAACTCATGTTTTTATCAAAAGAAAACGTCATTAGAAATTGTGTTTGGGTAAATATAATTTTTTACA